TGAACAGGGAACTCCTAGAACTGACATGTGGGTACTGAACATAGAAATACTGTGAATCTGAAATGCGTGCTGCCAAATTTTCTCTGATCTGATCCTGTCCATCTTTTGAAACGCAGTTTTGTCAAAGATTAGGCCAACAGGGACAATTGTATGTACTTTACTAAATGGCAAACGTGGCCAGTTCTAATGTATACAGTAGAACCAGTAGCAACTGACCAGTATCTTTGAATGAATTAGAAGACCAAAAAAAACCCACCAAAACTAAACCAATCAAACAACCAACCAACCAAAATATCAAAGGAGAGGCTTGATAACTATGTTTCCAACATGGTGGCTAGCATTTGTGATTCTTGGGTTTGTCCTAGGGTCAGGAGTTGGACTTTCATGATACTTGTGTATCTCTTCCAACTCAGAATATTCTGTGATTCTGTGATTTATTAAAACAAATAGCAGAAAAAAGGAAACAGAACAGTTGTCTATACTGTGACTGACTATACTCTCAAAAAAGATTTTTTTTTAGGTAGACCATACTTTTATATTACCTTTGGCTAAAAAGATGTCTGAAATTCCTCACCAATCTGTGTTAACTTATCCCACTTACTTTTATTTATAGACTATCAGTCTGTATTTCTAAACAATGAAACTTGCAAGTAAAGACTTACTGCATATAAATAAAAAACGAGTCTCTCAATCCAAGTTTTTAAACCAAGAAAAAATTAAAAGCTCCACCACTGAAATAATGTTCTCTGTGCAGCCAAGTATTTGAGGCATCTTAACAAAGAAAACATACAATCTACTTACTTGGAGATATATATAAATATATAGCATAATTTCAAAATTAAGAATTCCCTAAAAAGAAATGAGAATGCCAGTACCAAAGACAGAGACTTCAGAACACCACATTATTGGAACAATGAGCTAATCTACTTAGTTTATTTTCAGTTAATTGGGGTTTTTGCATACTATATAAACGCAAGACAAAGTTAAATTTCAAATTAAAAACAGTAACAAAAATTTTTTGTTGGAAAGAGGGTCAGACAGAGACACAAAAAAACGGCTCTGAAAAAATTATCAAGCTAACAATTTTTAATTATTTCAAAGTTAAGAAGAAGACAATGTCCAACACTAATTTTTCAAGAACAACTGCTGCCAAATCACTCTGGCTTCCTTTTATAGGAAAATTTGAAGCCCCTTGGGTAGGGCAGACAAAGAACTTACCATATATTTGATTTTGGTAGATCTTTCAATGTTGTTTAACCCAAAAGAGATTGAAAATTAATTAAAAATTGTAAAAGCAAGCAAAAATCTGTTTCAAAGAGAAAGGGGATGATCTGATACCGGTGCTTATGGTGGACAGTGACAAATGAATGGGCTTCTGATGCAGTAGGAAGGAACACAGACATGAATCAGCACAGCTTTTCAAAAGTATAAATTTAAACTAGAGAAATGGCCTGCTTGAGGAAGGAGACTTTGGAAAGAGAGTCCATGACAGGAGATCTTGAAGAATAGACTGAGTGAAGGAGCATCATATACATGACCTACCCTGCATGGGGCAGAGAGGGTGAATAAACTGTGAGTCCACCTTTTTTACGCCATTTGCATACATCTACATTCTTTAAAAGCTCAAAATGCAAGAGCCCAATAGATGAATCATTTATTACTTAAATGAGCATCTGAAATTGGACAGCAGAAGTACTGTAATAGTTCTTCTGTTCCCTGGGTATAGCATATTTCACTGGTTTAACTGATGAGTCCCAACAGTGTGACAGCAGGAAGAACAATCCACTATGCTAAAGTTTTTTCACCTCCTCTCTTCCAGAGACAGAATGAACTACTGGCAGCTTCAAGATCCCAGAAATACCATTTCAGGCTCATTACATTTAAAAAAAGTAATAATAATAATAATAATAAAGTCACTTACCTGTGCCTTCATTGCAATATTGTACTAATGTCAAATGGTGTAGGATGGCACAGAATACTTCCAAGTTAAGAATTTAAATTCACAGCACAAATAAGCTGTTGTCTCCTTCTTCCCCTCTGTTCTCTATCACAATTCTGGTTTCTGCTCTCAGGGATAACTACCGTTTTGTCCTCCAGGAGTCCCATGCTTGACTCATCCCTACTTTCATCAAGCATCACCTCCCCTCCTTTGCTCTACCACATTGTGATCAAAATCTCTCTGTCAGTTCTGCCATCATCTCCCCCTCTCCCTCCCCCTAATATCTCTCTTATTTCTAGAATCACACTCCCTGTTGCTCCCCTCTCCAAATGACCATACTGTCACTCACACTCTCTTCTCCCTGCATGTGTTCCAGTTTTTCTCTGGCACATCTGGCTTCTGATCATACTCAGAGCTGTGCCATGAATATGGCTTTGCTTGTGCTTCCACACCGTGCTGGCATCCTGAGAGAAACAAAAGTTGGTGAGAGGCTCTGCTTCAGGGAAGTTTCCAACTCTCATGGATACTGGGAAACTCTGATAATGTGGGCAGAGTAAATCTCCCAAACAAAACACAGAGCATGCACAAAGGGCCTCCAAAGTACCACTAAAATTGTGTGTCTCCTACCACCTGAGATTTATGCATAGCCTTTCAGCAGAAAATTCCGGATCTAGCTGGAAATGAAGAAACAGCCCTACTCATACCTATCTAGAAAAGAAAATTGGCAATAGTAACTGCCTCTACTAATCCTATCCTTCACCTGCAAAGGATTTATTGGTGTGGTGTCCATCTCGACTAAGGATAACCTCTGCCATCAGTCACTCAAAGAAGGTGAAGACTTCAGAACACATTAAACCAGACTAAAGACATGATGTTTTTACCACTGTAAAGCAAAATTATCAAATGTCAAAAATCACAAGATTGGCTCCCAGATATTTCTATTTCGAATTTAAGATTCTTCCTTTCAGCAAAACTGGATGGTGCTGACAACTCATCCACTAATTCAGAAATGTTAACAATTTCTGTATCCATTCTTATCAACTTAGCCCCAGCATATACTTCTTTTCCTGCCATCTTCATCTCAATCCCTAACGAGAATTTCAGCTAACCCTTCAGGTCAAATCATCCTCCTGTCTTGATTTTTGAGAAAAATACTAATGGTATTCATGGTTGCATGAATGACCAATACATTTAGGAAAGTGTCTATATCACAGGGTTTGCTGAGATTAGTAGAAAATCAGAGTTCATGACCTCTTTTTCTATACCCCTGTACAAAACCTAAATTCCCTGCTCCCCCTTTCAGCAGGCACAGAGCTCACAAAAGGAGCGACATCTCAGGCTCACCTTTGGCAGATCTGACCAACTGCTCATCCTTGACAGACTGCTTCTGGGAGCAGACATCCAGCTGGACAGGACTGTCCTTCAGCCCTGATTGGACTGGAAACCTCTGCAGACTCAAACTTCATGTACACATAGGAAAACTAAAGACATATTTGCCAGAGCTGACAGGAGGGAAGTCACAGATGCCTGTCACACCTTCTCCCCTCATCATAAACATTGTACAGAACACATCCATCTCAAAAGGTGAGTGAGAGAGGGCCAGAGCCACTTGACTGTTACTACATATCTTCAAGTTGTGTGAGTAGCCATAAAAGCCAGTGTTGGGATGGATGTGAGACAGACAATCAGAAGATCAAATGAAAGTACAGAGAGCACATCAGAGGTGATGAGTGTTTCTCTCTGCATTCCTCTCTCACACAGATATTTCTCTTCAGCTTGCCTGGCTCTTCTTTGCAACACGATCTCCGTAGCATGAGTGGGTGACAGCAACATCTTGGCGACTTGTGGCAGAAACGGTGAATTCCAACCTCTCTCTGCACCTGCGAGCCCCAAGCGACTTAGTAAACATTTTAATTAAAAGATTCAACAGTAACAAAGAGTAACATACAGTAGCCGTGTATAGTACGCCCTTCTTGCAACAAAACCTGAGCCCTGCGATTGGCTAGGCAAGCACACTGCTGGTTTGCTGCTGCAGGTCTCCCTTCCTAATTGCTCCAGGGTCCAGTTCTAGATCATTCAAGATCTCAGTGTAGTTAAAACACAGCACTCGTGTTTGTAACAAAGCTTTCTTTAATGCAAATTTTACTAACACCTTATTCCTTTGTTTATATAATCCCATTGAAGAATTTGAGGAATTTATTAACCTTAATCACTTTAAAGTCAGATTTACCTTAAACATTTAATCTCCATTCCTAAATCCATGTTTTCCAAAATTTCCCAACTATGGGAGTAGTCTTACTTCTTATTACATTTCCCTGAAGCCTTCCAATGAACATAGTCTTTTCTTTCCTTCCTGTCACTCTTACGTTCTGTCCCACAGCCTGCTCCTACTTAATTTAAGTAATTACAATTACTTAATACTCTCTCAGTAATCATGACAACTAATAAGGTATCATAATTCTTGATAAACAGACGCTGACACATTTTACTCTGTTCAGGCCGTGACTTCATTGCGCACGCAAGGAGACACTAAACCGAGCCTGCGGATTTTGGGGAGCTGCTTGCCCTGCCTGTCGTTTGTTGCTACGGCAGGTGCGTTGCCCTGGCGGCTCACCGAGGGCTCTCCGCTGCCTCTGAGCCCCAGCTCCGCTGCTCACAGACGCGGAGCCTGCCGCTGCTGTGATGCAGCTCTGACGGGGCCAGCGCACAGCAGGGCAGCTGCACCGAGCTGCTTTCCTGTCTGCCAGAATCATGACGAACGGCACCACGGCACACTGCTTTTAAAATAACTGGCTGCGGCAATGCACGAGGGTTACGCGTCACCGTGTCCGTGCCCACAGCCAGCACGGGCCGCCGCTGGCTGCGCGGCGCCATGGGGCCCCGCAGGAACCGCTTCCTCTCCCCGCGGGGCCGGCCCCACGCTGCCCGTCACACACTCTTGTGGTCACAGGGCTTCGTCCAGTGTGCCCAACTGCATTAAAGTGCTACTGTTCCTGCTACTAATAAAACACATCCAATTAAAAAAAGGTTTGGCACTCTGGGCGCCCCGCGTCGCGGATAGATGACGTCACCAGTCGCGCCCCCATGCCTCTGCCGCGCCCGGCCGCCGTGCCGCCACCAGAGGGCGCCCCCGCCCGCGGCGCCCGCCCCCGCCTCATTGGAGCCCGGCCGGGGCGGGGCCGCCGAGTCACGTGCCCTCCCGCCCTCCCCGCCAGGCGGTGCTGGAGGACCTATCCCATAATGCACCCCGGGGGCGGCGCGGGGCGGGCCGGAGGCGTCTCTCTGTGCCGCCAGGGCGCCGCCTCTGCCGGAGCGGAGCAGCGCCCCCGCCCGGGCCCCGCCGGCGCTGCTGCCGCGCTCCCCCGGCCACGCGCGGACATGTGGCGGCGCGGCGGGCGCTGAGCGCGCGGGGCCCCGCGAGCCCCGGCAGCCCCGAGGCGGCGGAGAGGGCGCGGACGCCGGGACTCGCCGCTCCCTGCGGGGCAGAGACCGAGCCAGGGAACGTCGCGGCGCCAGGTGAGCTCCGGCGGTTGGTGCCCGCCGCCTCCCTCGGGAATTTCCGCGCGGCGAGGGGAAGTGCTCAGGGCCGCGGGCCGGGCGCTGGCGGGCCGGGAGGGGAGGGCAGGCTGGAGGCGTTGCAGTCCCGCTTCGGCCGGGGCCTTCGCCCCCGCGCAGAGCCCGCCGGGCTGGGGCGCTCCCGCCGCTCCGTCGGGCTGGGGCGGAGTTTGCTGCCGGCTCCGGCCGCGTTTTCCCCCTTTCTCTCCCCTCCCCACCCCTCCTCGCCGCCCGCGTCGTGGCGCCGAGCGGGAGCCGGCCCGGCCCGGCGCTGACGCTCGCTCGCCGCGGCGAGACGCGGGTCCGGCTCCCGTGCCCGCCGGCCCCCCTGGGGCGAGAGGGGAAACAAAGCGGGGCGGCGGGGGCGATCCGCCGGCCCGCTCCGTGCCGAAAGCTTTTGAGAAGCCGCACCGGGAGGAGCAGCAGCCGTGCCCGCCGAGCCGTGAGCGGGGCTGAACAAAGATACGGCCCGCGGAGCACCGCCGTCCCTCTGCTCCCGGTGGGGTGGGCGCACGCCTGGAGCTGTGAACACCGGCGGGTTTTGCTGCAGGAGCGGCTCCTGGGACCTTGCAGTTGTGGAGGAAGTTGCACGGAGAGGCTCAGCTCAAAGCCTTGCTCTGCTTTTGTGCTGCTGTGGGATCGCGACTCAGGCATCAGCAAAGTTGTGCAGGGGGAGCGCTGGAGCCTGGAAGCAATTTACCGAGCCAGTGAGATAATCGCCAGTTCTTGTGTTTTATGGTACATGGTGTCCTAGTTTCTTTTTTTTTCCCCCTTTGGTGAGTATTAAAGAATATTATTAGCCTGAGCCCAAAATGTAACTCATCTTTGACAGTCCATGTCCACGTTTATAAGTTCAAAACAAAGCAGTATTGTTAGGACTAAAATTTGTCCCCGCCCTCTCACGATGTTTTGCTCTTAGACTACTAATTACTTTTAAATTCTGAGGGAGAACGAGATAACAGAGAGAAAGGCCAGGTAGTTACCGTGTGTTTAGTATCAGTAACTAGGTGCTGTTGGCAAAGAGCCATTTGTTTAAAATGTCAGGAGACAGTTAAGGCTGTGCCCATCTGAGTAATTATTATATGATGGATTGGAACGTCCGTGATTATTGAACAGCTATTTTAAGTTTGGAATTTTATAGCTTCGGTAACCTTAAAGGGAAATTTAGCTAACTGAGTATCCAGTGTTAAGTCTGTAGATCACTGATGTGTTTGGGGGCTTTTGGTTTTCTTTGCAGTGGATCATAGTTTTAAGTATAATCTGACTTAAATTTTACTATGTAGGTGTTCAGACTCTTACACATCAGAGAGTCATTTTGTCATGATTCCATTTGCTCTTAGCAGAAATTAGTAGTAGGCTTCTTAAATGAAATGACAGAGGGACAAAAGATTTGCTATTATTTGGTTGATTATGTGTGGTAACTGGAAAAGCTGTATTTAGCAACTCACAGTATTAAAAGAAATTGGATAGCATCCTCTTCCGTGGCATGGAAAACACTTGGAAATGATCCCAAGTACTTTTTCAAGTGTTTCCTTTAACATTTCTAGGAATACAGTGTTTGATTTTGTGATTTCCCGAGATAAGATGAGACATACTGGAGGTGGGGAGGCTGTTTAGGCTTTTAGTCAGAATATTACATCTTTTTAAGCTTTCTTTTCAGCAGTTTACATTTGCTGATGTGTCAATTTTCAGAATGACAAATTACACAAATTAAAAAATATGTTCTTTTTTTTCGTGTTTCACTGACCTTAAAGTCTGCTTTGGAATGAGCAGAGCAGGTGACTTTGTGTCTGTGTGAGGAAATCTCTGTCTTCCAAATGGTCATGGAAGAGAATGTTTTTTCTGACCTTCCTGAATAGCAGTAATCCTGGGTTGAGTAGTTTTTACGTCATATTTGGGTTGTCTTTGGAAACAACTTCCCAAAGTGGCATGGTATATGGTGAATGTTTTGGCCATGATTTTATGGTTCTCCATCACATGTGAAGGTTGAGTTTGTTGCGTATGTGAAGATGGTTGAGTTTGACCCAACAGGCAGTTTAAGTTTATCTTAATCTACAGTTAGCCAGCTATTGCCTTGGAAACATCTAGATGATAAAGAGTTTCTCTGTGCTCTCATCTGGCTGCAGTTTGGTGCAGTTGTTGCATGGCTTCTAGTCCCTGGTTTTATAAAACTTACAGACAGTTCTGCGCATCGTACATGATTGCTCTTCTCAGGTTACATATGTCTGTTGGCTTTTGGTTTTATCCTGTTACAGGGTTTCTTTGCAGAATCTTCTCAGTCTTCCACTCAGTCCTGAGTACTAAAAAACCTGTGCAAAAACTTTTAAGTTACTTAAGTTGGCTTTATATAGTAATTAAAGAGTAATTTGTCTTTCAAATAATGATGTATTTAAATATTAAATTTATATTAATAGGGGTGAAAAAACCACTGCTGGTAAAAGTTTGCAGGGCTGACTTGTCATACCTGCAGCAAAATTCTTGAAGCTCCGCTTTCTGTCAGTCCACTGTTCAGTGTTCAGATTTTCTTTGCCAGCAGTCTAAGGTGAAGGACAAAAATTGTCTTTCCAGTTAATACCTATAAAAACATACAGAACAATTCCTCATGATGGTTAAGCTGACCTTCAGTGCTGTCAAACATTGTTATCAGTTTTTCTGAAGGAATTTTTAAATGGTTATGGTTAATCTGCAAAACCCTTTAAGACTGAAGTAGATTTTATAACTCTTGACATTGTCCAGTTTTTCTGCCTTTGTTTAAATTTCAGGTTGGAGATGCAGTGTTAAGCATCCTCTGTGCTCATCAGTGCCAGAGCATCTGTTAACTGCACATGCTTTCGAGCGCTTCCACACAAGGGCTAGTTCATCGCTTTTCAGCAGTGTAGACACATTTTGTTTCATCTGTATGTACTAGTCCACCTTGCCCTGAAGGGCAGTGAGCTTGATTGGAGAGGGTGTGTGTGCAGTGATATTGTATCTTCCCTACTTTTTTAATCTCTTTTCACCCCTCTGGTGAGGATATGGACACAATTTGCAAGAAAGTTGCTTAATTTTGATACCCTGAACCAATTGATTCCCTTGTGCAGCATGAAATAGCAAAGGGAGGGCTCTAGCTGGAAGGTGAGCGTACCTCTACTGCTCTGTTTGCTAAAGCTGCAGCTCTGCTCTCTCAAGCAGCTCTCTCTGAGAGGTTTGTCAGCTCTGCATCTGGCTCTGGTGAAGCACCAAAGGCATGATGAGGGCGATGCCTTGGGCTCTCAAAGGTTGAATGTGCATAATCTGTAAGTGTCCCACACTGCATCCAACAAGTAGTTTTTCTCTGTTGGGAGCTTTAAAAAAACCAACCAACCAACTGTGTTGTTTTAATGCAGCCTGGCTTTTGGTGTGGGCAGAGGAAGCCACAGTGGCTGCTTGTGAGAGAGGAGCTCCTTGAAACTTCTACTGTGTCCGGCAGAGCCAATCCCTGAAGGCTCTGATGATGGACATATTGACTGGCCTAATTAGAGAAGTTGGTAACGCCTCTGTGATGATATATTTAAGTAAAGAAAAAACCATGCGAGGCAGCTGCTGGGGCCCTGCTACCAGGGGCCATGCCGGCACCACAAGTGGCCCCACAGCCAGGACCGTGCAGCCAGGGTGAGCACCTGTGCGGCCGGGGCTATCTCAGCGTGGTTTGTGGGGAGCTGTGCTTGCTTGGCTGCTTTTAACCAGCCATGCTGCAGGCAGAAGGACAGGGGCGGTGGCAGCAGCTTCTCCTTTTTGGCGCCTCTTTCACCATGAAAAGAGGTGCTGAATGGAGCCAGCGGCCGGTGCTGCCCGTGCAGTGCTGGAGGGGACCATGGCTGACAACGAGGGGCATGATGAGCAATTCTCTGATTCAGAGCCCAGATGGGATCAACCTTTCAGCACTACAAAACCCTATAAGAACTTCTCAATTGACAGAACTTGAGAGCAAACGAACCTACAAATGACAATTCTCTCCTGCGTCAGAAAAGGAATAGGTGAAGACACGTGAGGAGAACACAAGGGAGACACTAAGATCTGTGAAAGGAGGGAGTGGAGACACTAAGGTCTGTGAAAGGAGGGAGTGGGAGGAGGACATGCTCCGGACATCGGAGGTGAGATTTGTCTCACCTCTCAAGCTGTGGTGAGGAGTATAATACAACAAACTTTCGCTGTAATTCATTAGGTGCATGGAGGGATGTAGAGGTCCATTTGCAGCCCATGGGAAAAGGTGCTCATACTGGAGCAAGTAGATGCTGAAAGACTGTAATCTAGTGGGAAACTCAGGCAAAGAGAGAAGACCCTTGCTTCCAAAGTAGAGCAGCTCATCCTCAAAAAACTATGCCCCATGAATTAATGACCCACGAAAAACAGTTGTGAGAAAACTATTTGCCTGTGGGAGGAACTCGCATTGCAGCAGGTTGGGCAGGACTGCTACTTGTGAAAATTAAAACCACGCTAGAAAAGTTCACAAAGAAGTGTCTCCCATGAGGAGGACACCATGGCACAGCAGAAAAAAAATCAAACTCCTTTCCCTAATCCAGTTGAAGATTTTTAATTGAAGTTTTTTTTTTTTTAATTGAAGATTTTTATTTTAAAAAATAACAAACTGACTAAAGATTCCCATGCTTTGTCTCTGTGCTGTTGGTGGGAAGGCAGGAGGCGCTGGAGGGAGGAAAAAGGTGTTCTAGAGGTTTATCTTAGTTCTCAATGTCATCTTTTAATTTTGTTAATAAATTTTCTTTATACTGTTTATTTTGCCCTTTAGTGTTTTCTCCTAATCCTTATCTCAACCTATGAGCTCTTCAGTTTTTCTTTCCCCTTCCTCTTCTCAACTATAGCAGAAGAGAATGAGTGTATTGTTTTTTTGTGGGTGCTTGGTGTTTAACCAGTGTCAAATCATGGCACTAAAAAAAAAAAAAGAAAAGAGGAAGTTGCCTCTTCTTGAAAAATTTAACTTTCCTATGTCCTTTTGTTGCAGTGCATCAAATTTCCGAAAGACTTGCAGTTGTAGAAACAAATCCAATATAACTAAATGTGGAAGTTGTCACTTTTAAATTTGGGAAATTGTTAACCGACTTCACAAAGGATGATCAAAATACTGCACTGAATTTATTCAGGAAACAAATACATACACACACACACACCTGTGTAGGCATTGTTCATCTGTCTTATATTTGTGTATATTGTACTAAGTTGAGTATTTTCACCTGTTTATTTTTTATTAGCAAGTTAATGCTCACTAATTTATTTTGATGAAACAGTAGTATTTTTCTTTGTTTTTTTTCCCTCCGTGAGAATGCAGAACTGGAATTTGAACTCCAAAATACTCTGTCATAGCAAAAATGGAAAAGTAATATTTTAATTTTATGGTTCTGTGATTGGCGGTATTTCTTCTTAACTTTCTAAGGTTTTCAGATTTTGCGTGTGCATATATATATGTGTGTGTGTGTGTGTATAAAAGAAATGTAGAGAGAATTTGAAGTAGAAATGTTTTCCACTAGCTGTTTTCTAAAGCCTAATGAATTGCAGTATCTGATCACTTTATCTAAAAGACACTAAAAATGTCTCTCTTAATGCATTTTTTAGTTTAAGGATTGGTGAGCTCACATTAAAATGCAACAGTTGGGGTGAAAGTACTGCTTAACCGTGATCTGCTTTTGCAGGTACTATTTATGAGTAAAACTGAGTGATGCATTTAGTGATATTTGAAACTTTTTCAAGCTAGTACAAAATTGCTTGGATATGTCAATTGAGTTAACCCTTGTTGTCTCTGTCTTGTGACCTGGCTTTTGTTAGACTGCCAGCAGTAATAAAGAATGTGAAATTCCATGTGATTAGTGTCTGTTAGAAGTCTTCATCTCTGTCCATATCTTTAGATAGCAATACAGGCCAAAACTGGAGCAATGAAAATTTGTGCTTTTCTTGCTATGCCACAGGAGAGGTGGAGACACTTACATGAAAATGAGTTGAACTGATATTAAAAATGTGGATGTTAAGGTAGAATCTGAAGGTAGGCATGTGATCTTAATTGGCCTGCTCACTATTCAGAGTGAATGACTTCAGCAGTTCTGGACATAGGAGGGGCAATGAAATTCTCCCATGCTTTTCATATAGTTACTGAATAAGCACTTTCTGTGTGCAGTTTTGCTTTTTTAAAATGTTCTTGGTTTATCAATTGTTAGGTAAGAGATAGTGATCATTGTGGATAGATGGGTGTAACAAAAAGTAATTGGAAGTCCTATGAAACAGCTGGAGAAATTCAGTTTATAAGGAGTTTTGGTTTAGAGATGTTAGCAAATAAAGATACCTATAACAATGAAAGTAAAATATATTCTTCTCTCTAAATCTATGCAATTGTGATTTTTAAGATGCAATTTCATCAGCCTAGGCAAGAAAGGTACCTTATGCAAGTCTTGGATAAGTTAGTGGGTTCCAATGGTTATTTTGTGGTTCTTATTCTGGCAAGAAACTTTGAATGACAATGGAGTTCCTCATTGTGGGGAGCTTTTAGTGTTGTTATATGAAAAGTTTAAGTTATTTTTGTTATGGCATAGAATAACAATTATAACAAAGCCTATGTTGGTCACTTAAGAATTCACAGTAAAGTACTGTTGTAGATAATTTCTTGATGCCATATATGTGGTGAAGCTAAAAAGGTGATTAGCATGACTATCTATTAGACTCACTTCACAAATTGGAAGATAAGGTGATGGAGTTCAGGTTGTATTTTCAAGTTCAGATCTGAGGTTGCCATCTTGCATTAGTAGTTTGTGTTACCTTTCTTTGCATTGCTGTTCATGTTGAGAAGGAACTTTTCTTACAAACCTGTCTTCTGTTCCTGGCTGGGGTTTTCTAACTTTATTTTAGCTGTCTTGAAAGTTATTGCTGAGTAAGGGCTGTGAAAACAAGATCAACAGTAATTTAAACTGCTTACTCCCCATCTATCTATTACTTCTGAAATGGCATTCAATGCATTCTTATTCTACAGATATTGTAGGAGATTTTGTACAAAATACAATTATGCTTAAAATTATTGTAGTAGTCATAAATCCTTCACAAGCTCTCTTTTCCCTCAAATGCAGCATTTATTTTTGTTCAGGTTTTGTAAGAGGTTAGTGTAGGTCTTTGACCTGAGTTTATGAAATGCTGTTATTCAAAGCAAGAAGGAGCTCGAGGACTGTATTTTTGACACCATAGCTTTCATTTAGTGTCTTTTTTTTTAAAAGTGTATGCCTCAGAGAGGCAACATCTGCTTTTAAATGGGTATGTTATTTCCTCTCTATTATTTGTTTTTGACTCAGTGTCTGTATATTTTACTTGTAATCTGTGGCTTTTTTTGCAGAAATGCAATTTTTTTAATCATGAACATGTCATAAACATGACACAAGTCTAAACCTTTGATTTGATGTTTCAAATGAAAGAACAGTGTGCTTTCAATAGAGGAGTCAAGTTCAGGGTATTTTTATCAAGGCTGTGTCTATTGTTCTATGCAATCTCCTGTAGTCCTTTTTTTTTCCTGTGTAAGTTATAGGGAAGCCTGTGCATTACATACATTTTGTTAAGAGAATGTCCTTCATTTTGCAGGGGTTCAACATCCAGAAGCTAAAAAATAGGAGTACTGTAGTTTAGGTAAAAGAAAAAAATAGTGGTAGTCTATAGTTGGACAATTGCATTCTGTTTCTTCCTTTGCTGCATTTGTCCTTTTTGTCTACAGCTCAAGATGCTTCTCTAATCACCTACCACTCTTATTCTATTGCCCCATTATTTTTTGCATCTTAAATATGCTTCTTGCTGCTGCCCCTGAGCTTTTAATTTGAGCTCAGTCTTACTCCATCAGTTTTGCTTATCATTTTTCCTTTTCCTGTTAAAAAGTCTTATTCTCTGCTTCCGTCTTTGCAAGGTCTCCTGGTTCAGCTCCTGCATCCCTAATGTTTGAGTCTGGCTATTTGGGTATGATTAGGATGGTATTAAGAAAAATAAAGATGGTCTTTCTAGTTTTTTTAGCATCAGAGAGATGACTGCAACAAGTCCTGCTGTGTTGCCATAGCAGTGGCTGAAGTATGCTCATTCATCTTGTGGGAATGTTGTATGTGCTGTGTAGCAGTGGGATAGGAACTTAAAATTATTTGTGTATGCTAAGCACAGATGAAGTTTAGGGGTGGGGGGAAATTAGATGCAACAACTAGCAAAGATTTATTGATTAAATGCAAACTTTTTTCCCCCCAGATCTGTGACATGGCTGTATTTGGAAGGGTTACTTGTGTGGAAAGCATGTTCTTACTCTCCGTGACCCACTGCCAAATGTCTGCACTGTGGTGGAAAGCATGAAAATACTAGTGCTTCCAAGTGGCTAGAAAAAAGTACTTTAAAAAAAACAACCGTGTTCTTGGAAATGGCAGAGCCATTTTTGCTGACTTTGGTATGTAATGCTATCCCTTCCAGCTGCAAAAGTATGCATGTGACTAAGGAGCCTGAACAGCAGAAGGCAAGGTCTTGAGTTTAAGCTGATTCAGTTTAGTTGCTTGGACCTTGTGCACTTTGAAAATAGTACCTAATGCCTAATGAGTTCCTGTTACTTGTAAATCTCAACTTCACCCAGTTTAGTTACAGACTACTTAGAAGAAGCACCAAAGTGCTGAATTCTAGATTTTGTGAGAGCATGTTATGTACACTATTTTGTCTTTCATATTTTTTTGTATTCTGGTAATTACTACGGTATTTCAGTGTTTTGTTGTCAGGATATGAAATTATGTGACTTAGCCAGTGGCAAACACATGTTCTTCCTACAGGGGTGGTTGTGGTGTAGTGCTTCTTCTGTTGGGAGTCTTGTCATACACGTGCATGCACAGGAGAGATAGCAGCACAGTGCACGTTGCCTTCTGTTCAAAATACTGGCTTGGAAAGAAAAATAGGTGGGCTTTTAATTTCTGTGAATACACATTTCATTGCCTTGTATCAGTCTTTAGAAGGTTTTATTCATCCTGTCTTCTGTATAAATGAAGCTGTTTTTTCCAAGGGACTTAACTATAGCTCCAATGAATGTTTCCTCCTTATGGCTATTATGAGCCCAGCTGTGCACTTCTGTAAAGATTAGGTCTGGAATTGACTTATATAATTCAGAACATCTTTGGAAAGCAATGTTATCAGTGCAGACTTACTGAGGAGCTACCGTGCAAGATTGCCTTAGTTTAGCATGTAGGGAAGCTGCACAGCTTTGCCCTTGCTTTTGCATTGTCAAGAGCTGACAGAGGCTTGAGTAACATAATTTGTCCTCTAGCAGAGTAGGAAAGGGTTTTCTCACAGACTTGAGAAGTGTCACTAAAGAGCCAGCTGGGACACAAGCATAACTTTATATTACAGGTTAGATTGATCAACTGGGAACATATACTTCGAATCAAATTAAGCTGCACTGTGACAACTAACTCCCCTAAGTGCCTTTTTTTTTTGTTTTTCTGTTCCTTGCTGACTGGCAAGTTTAGCTTTATCTAGTTTTTTCTCTGTAAATTGAATTTACCTAAACACAGGGCCATCTTGTTTGTCAGTGGTTGCCCTGAAAGACACTGATAGTATAGAGGTGCCACATAGCTCTACTTTGACATGTAATGTCACATGGTCTTACAGGCTAACCTCGCAGCTGCTGCCAGATACTGAAAATCTTGTGGGATAGTTGATGTACATTGACTTGTGTACTTCAGCAGATTTCTCCACACTTTATTATCACCTTTAAAACGAGTTCAGGAGAGATCCTAAACTTCTGCTATCCATTCTACCTTTTTACGCTGTCCAGTAAACAGAACGTTTTGCTTGCAAAACTCTAGAGTTCAATCTGATTTGTAGCAGCACTTCAACACCCAACATTCTGTAAAAGACATGGTGTCCCCCACAGTTTATAGAATGTTCTCAAATATGTGAGGTCTTATTAAATGGTATCTTTCTTACTACTCTTATTTTTTGCCTAAGACTTGCAGGTACTCTTTTGTTAAACTTCATTGAGGGGCACTGCCTATGCCACTGATTTAACAAGATCTGTACTGCAGGTTTTAAGACAGTTTATAGGCATTATATATAGGAAGATGATTACCTTGTGTGTGTGTGTGTCCACTGTAAGGTTCTAAGTCTTTCTTAAAACTCTTGATTTTCTGGATGGTTAGACAGGTTACTGAGGGATAGTTGCTGCATCTGAGTCACTGCATCTGAGTCACTGCAGCAGTTCTCAAGTACATTTTGATGGAGTTGTGCCTGCCTCCCCTGTTTAGGAGGCAGTTATGGTGTTGTCCTGTCCAGTGCTGACTGGACATGAGTGAGTGTTTGCAGCTGCCATTCGTGTTGTTATTGTTGAGTGGACCACAAAAATGAAAGCATTGATTCTAGCAGGAACATAGCTGTAGCCACAGCATCTGTAATTGAGGTATACATGTATCTTGCTGCTAGATTGTGGAAAATCTGAGGACAATATCTGCTGTGTTGCTTTGGGTGGGGTGACTTTTTTGGGTTTTTTAGTGTAGGGAAGGAGAAGAGCAACAGACAGCAGTGCAGTGTTTAGTATGGTATAGTTCTAGCCATTTGGCTTTGGTAGTTTTCTCCTGTAACTTTACCTTGTGTTTTCATGGACCTGGCAGCTGATCTAGCTAGGTACTGCTGTGTCCTTGAAGGGGATGCAGTTTGACAATAAAGTCTGAGGCTTTTTTAGCACCTTACCACTGCCGGAAGGGGCAATGACTTTTTATGTCTTCCCTCCCTCATTTTGTCACTTGCAATGTCTTTGGACCCCTATGGCTCTTAGTGAGTCTGCTCACCATCACTGGTGGTGAGACACTTAGCTGCTTCTTTGGGTGGCAGCAAGCTGTCAGCTCTCTTGGGTAATTGCATCCTTAGAGGGTCTGGAAAGAGTCTTTAAATCAGCAGTATCTCCTTGTCTGAATAGCAGTGATTCTTTCCAAGACACTGGATCTACATGAATAGGCTTAAACCACCTATAGAAAAAGATTATTCCCCAAGGCATAGCACTGGTCTTTCTTTCTCCTCATCTTTGTTGGTTCTATGGGATTTGATTTGGGAATGCAGACAAGGTGCAATTTGAGCTTACAAAGAGTAAAGATCCTCTTTAAAAGACTGCTTTTGAGTGCCACTGTTGGTTCTATTCTCACTGATGTGCTGGACCAAGAGATTTTACTGCACAAAGGAGAAAATCCAGGATAAGTGCTTCCAGATTCTCAATGCAGCACTCATTTTTTGAAGGGCAAACAACATTACTCAATTGTCACTAGAAGCAAGTCTACCTTCCAGGCTCTTCTGACAAATCAGATGTTTTTCCAAAGAAAAAATAAAACAGCTGTGAAGGTTCTTGATGTACTTAGACAAATACCCAGTAATGTGGGGTTCTTTTCTCTTTTTTTTTTTTTTTTTGGTGTATCTGTTGTGTTAGGCACAGTGATACAGGTAGGTCAAAAGCTTTTCAATTGTTCAACTGCCATTGGAAATTATAAGTGTTTTCTCAGCTCATCTCTTAGACAGCGCAAAAGTTCTGGCAAAATGTTTAAAAATGTTTTTCATCAGCAGCTGAACATGTTCCCAGTAATGGTCCAGAGATTAGGATGAGCCCGTATGAGGAACTTCAGAGGATACATGTTCTGTCATTAACTACTAAAACTACAATAACAAAAACCAGCACCAACAAAAATCTGTTTTTGTGAATGTGACTAGTTGTTGAGGTTTGTTTTCTTTAAAAACATATTTGCTGAGGGAGCAGCTTAAATGTCTTTCCCAGGTTTCTTAATGACTATGAAAATGCATAGGGAGAAACAGAGTCCTACCTATTACTGCCCAAACATTTGATGGGACTAAAGGGTGTTGTTGTTGTTTGTTAAGCAAACAAATTTGTGTACTAAATGTATGTCTGTTGTTTGATAAGTGAAACTGATTGTTTCTCAAATTATTAAAAAATCAAAACACAACTAAGAGTACCCCAAATCCTTTTAAAAATAAAATATTTTTAATAGAAACAGAACAGTCAAGTAAATGCTACTCTGAGTATTAGTGCAACATGTATCTAAGAAGCTGAAAGTTTGATTACAAATGTTTCCTGAGTTAAATCTGTTGCAGAAATGAGTAAGGTATCTTTGGCATAAATTTGCACTTTCTCACTGGAGACTTCTCTGCATGTGTTCTTGATTTCCATCCCCCTTTCCAGCTGAACTGGGGTACTTCTGTGTAGATAAGTCTCTAGACTGTTAGTGTGTTGGAGGAAGAGTGTATTTAGTTGTTGCATTATATTTACAGGGTATAAAGAATGCTTGTAAAGACTTTGTCTTGTAGTTAGGCAAAAAGGAGGCATGTGCTAATTTCATGTGTCACTTACAACTAGGCTTCTGTAATTTTTTGAATCCAATGCTTTTCCTATGTCTATTTAAGATTACAATATAATAGATTCATTAAGAAATTAAGAGGCATGACTTTGAACAGACCAAGTCTTTTCTTTCCACATGCACAATGAATTAGTGTTGAAATACATCTGTATTTTTAGGTTGTGAGTTATATGAAGTAGTTTGTGTGAATCACAGTTGTACTTTTGTGATATAGGAAATAGTTTAATGTGTGCATGGCACTTAGTCTGTTTTTTGGAGTTGTTTAAGTTCTTCATGAAGCTGTGTTCCTCAGATGGACAAGGACAAATCTGTTACCACAATCTACAGTCAACTCTCTTTAAGCACTTTTATTGCCAGATGCATTCCATTGAAACAAGAATAGGAATTTAATTTCCTTGGAAGAATAGCCTGGAAAGTTAAACATTTAATTATTTTAAGAGAACAGGGAAATGAGTTAGTGTTGTGTACCTGTGCTAATGTCTCTGATCACTGTTCTCAGTTTAATATACTAGAATGTGAAATAAAGTAAGATATTTCTCTTAAAAAGTAATTACATTGAGAACGTACAAGCACCAGAAAAATACCATCTTGGCTGTAATGTTATGCTGTCTTTAGGCATTCTTAGGAAGGATTATCTAGAGTTTGGAGAGGGGTGTGGTTTGTTGGTGGGGTTTTTTAGGGTTTTGTTTTGGGTTTTGTTTTGGTTGTGTGGGGTTGGTTTGTTTGTTTGGGTTTTTTTTTTTGGGGTTTTTTTTTGTTTGTCAGCACAGAATTCACAGAATCACTAGGTTGAAAGAGACATTCAAGATCATCAAGCCCAACCCATGTGCTAACACCTCAACTAAACCATGGCACCGAGTGCCACATCCAGTCTTTGTTTACATCCAAGGATGGTGACTCCGCCACCTTCCCGGGCAGGCCATTCCAGTACTTTATCACCCTTTCTGTAAAAAACTTCCTAATATCCAAACTGTATTTCCCTTGATGCAGCTTGAGACTGTGTCCTCTGGTTCTGTCAGTTCCTGTCTGGAGTGTGCTGTGGGAG